GTCTTCAAAGACTCAAATTTGGCTTTTGAGAGTGATGACTTAAAAAAACTCCATCACTCAGCATCAATAGCAGACAGGTGCTAAAGAAAAATAAAAATCATCCAGCAAAATTTCTTCTTAAATGTATTCTTTTTTTATTAAGTTCCATAGAACTAGAAGACTTTTGAGCATGCACTTGTCTTCATATATTCTTTAATTATTTTTTTACTTTTTTTAAATAAACTTTTATTTGGAGGGACAGCATAATTTAGAGTCCAGGCTCTCTACACTTTAAATATTTATTCATTTATTTGTTTTATATAGACAAAAAATGTATATATTTATCATGTACAACAGGATGTTCTGAAATATGTCTACATTGTGGAATGACTAAGTCAAGCTAATCAATATATGATTACCTCGTATATGAATTTTTTTGTTTTTGGTGGTGAGAACGCTTAAAATCTCTCATCAGGTGCAATGGCTTATGTCTGTAATCTCAGCACCTTGGGAGGCCCTGGCGGGTGGATCACTGCTTGAGGTCAGGAGTTTGAGATCAGCCTGGCCAACATGGTGAAACCCTGTCTCCACTAAAAGTACAAAAATTAGCTGGGCATGGGGGCATGTGTCTGTAGTCCCAGCTATCAGGAGGCTAAGGCCGGAGAATCACTTGAACCCAGGAGGCGGAGGTTGCAGTGAGCCTGAATCTCACCACTGCACTCCAGCCTGAAATGAGCAAGTGAGACTCAGTCACAAAAAAAAAAAAAAGAAGTTAGCCTGGAGTCGAGACCATGGTGGCTCACGCCTGTAATCCCAGCACTTTGGGAGGCCAAGTCAGAATGGATCACCTGAAGATGGAGGTCGAGACGAGCCTGACCAACGTGGAGAAACCCCTGTCTCTACTAAAAATACAAAATTAGCCGAGGTGTGGTGGTGCATGCCTGTAATGCCCGGCTACTTGAGAGAGGCTGAACAAGGCATTGCTTGAACAGGAAGCGGAGGTTGCACTTCATTGCACTCCATCTGCTTAGACAACAAACAAACTCTATCAAAAAAAAAAAAAAAAAGTAAGTTAGCCTGTTTCTAGCAAGGAAGTAAAGCCAGTAGGAAGCTAACGGTTTGAGGGAATGAGTGAGCTTAAAGAGCAAGTTTAGGCCAGGCGCGGTGGCTCATACCTGTAATCCCAGCATACGGGAGGCCAAGGTGGGAGGTCCTTGAGGTCAAGGAGATCGAGACCATTCTGGCTAACACAGTGAAACCACTCTCTCTGCCAAATATACAAAAATTAGCTGGCGTGGTGGTGGGTTCCTGTAGTCCCGGTTAACCGGGAAGGCTGAGGCAGGAGAATGCTGTGAACCCAGGAGGCACAGCTTGCAGTGAGCCGAGATCATGCCACTGCACTCCAGCCTGGGTGACAAAGCAAGACTCCATCTCAAAAAAAAAAAAAAAGAAAAAAGAAGAGCAAGTTTATGGCTGGTTGCAGTGGCTTATGCCTGTAATCCCAGGAGTTTGGGAAGCTGAGGCGGGAGAATCATTTGAGCTCTGGAATTTGAGGCTGCAGTGAGCTATGATCATACTACTACACTCCAGTTGGGTGACAGAGTGAAACCCTGTCTTAAAAAAAAAGGGGCAAGTTTAGGATGAGTGAGACTAAGAACTTGAGGTAAAGGACTTCTTCATTTACAAAAAGTCAAGGAAATATTTACAGTGGTCACGTTTTGGGTTTCCAGGGATAAGCATTGACAGAATACAGCATAGTGAAGAGAAATGCAATTTACCACACATTTTTTGAGAGCCTATAATGCAGAACAAACACTGTGGGAAGTAAAGGTTGATTATTTCCTCTCCAAGGATGATATGTCTAATGAAGTCCCTTGTCCTTAGCTACATTCTTATGGCTACAAAAAGATCATAGATGCAGATTTTCCATATGAGTTGAATGTTCTAGTTCTATTATTTTCTCTTCACTTGTTCTGGAAAAACATCCCCCTATAAAAGAGGTTTAGATTAAAGGTGGATGTAAGGGTAAAATAAAGCAAACAAACAAAAATCAACAACATGGAGAAAGAGCAGGAGTGATTTAAACCCAGCTTGAACCAGCAGGCAAGGATGGCATGATCTCTTAGCATTTAAAAATCCTAGGGCAGATGTGGTTTTCTTTGGCTTAGGTGGAAGACTTATCAAAAAATTCAGCAGGAAGAATTGGCTCTTTTGATAAATTTTCAGACATAATATTCCTCTAAAATTTCAGTCCCCTGGATGTTTTTTTGTCTATGAAGAAAGGTTAAGAGATCTTGTTGGCTTTGTTCCTCTTTGAATGCCCGTTATCTAACATAGTGCCTGACACACTGTAGAAGTCAACAAATATTCTCTTTGCCCCCAGCTAACAGCTTGGTTTAGCAGCCCCAAGCTCCACAGAGGAACCAACATCTCCTGAAGAAGCCTATGATGTTAGCGGTTCCTAGCCTAGTTATAAGAGCTGTGTGCAAGAAGTTCAAAGTTATGTCTTCCTTCCTGGTATTTATGGTTCATTCACAGATGCAATTTACAAGTCAAGCATGATTTTCCCATGGGAACATTGCCCCAATAACCTAACTGATCTTCCAACTTTATCAAGTTTCTTGGGAGCAGAGTTAGAAAAGTTAACCCAGGTCAATTGTCCATAGAAGAAGAGTTTCATTAGCTTTTTACTCAAACTTTGTGCCTAAAAAATAGAAGCACAGAGATTTTTCTATAGAGATGGGGTCTTACTTTGTTGCCCAGGCAGGTCTCAAAGCTCTGACCTCAAGCAATCCTCTCTGCCATTATCCAAAGTGCTGCGATTACAGGCATGAGCCCTGTCAGCCAAGCTAATATATTCCTTAAAGAGAGATTCATATATATATATATGCATGTGTGTGTGTGTGTGTGTGTGTGTGTGTGTGTATATATAATTTTTTTTTTTTTTTTTTTTTAGACTGGGTTTTGCTCTGTCACCCAGGCTGCAGTGCAGTGGCATGATCTTGGCTCATTGCAACCTCTGCCTCCTGGGCTCAAGCAATCCTCCTGCCTCAGCCTCCCAAATGCTTTGAAATTACAGGCATGCACCACCACACCTGGTTAATTCTTTGATGTTTCTGTAGAGACAGGGTCTCACTCTATTACCCAGGTTATATTTGATATTTTCCCCATCCAGGCCATATATTATTCAATTTCCACAATGTTAAGTGATAGTAATAAAAACGATTTTCCTTATTCCATTATGGAGAACCAGTATCTAGAATGCTGGCAGCTTTGGGAATTATTTTTGGATTATCTGGGGAAACCTTTCATAGGTCACAGTTTCTTTCTTTCTTTCTTTCTTTCTTTCTTTCTTTCTTTCTTTCTTTCTTTCTTTCTTTCTTTCTTTCCTTCCTTCCTCCCTCCCTCCCTCCCTCCCTCCCTTCTTTCCTTCCTTCTTTCCTTGTTACTTTCTTGCACTCTTGCTTTCTTTCTCTCTTTCTTTTTTCTTTTGACAGAGTTTTGCTCTTGTTACCCAGGATGGAGTACAGCGATGCGATCTCGGCTCACTTCAACCTCCCCCTCCCAGGTTCAAGTGATTCTCCTGCCTCAGCCTCCTGAGTAGCTCAGATTATAGGCATTTGCCACCACTCCCGGCTAATCTTTTGTACTTTTAGTAGAGATGGGGTTTCACCCTATTGGCTAGGCTGGTCTCGAACTCCTGGCCTCAGGTGATCCATCTGCGTCAGCCTCCCAAAGTTCTGGGATTGTGGGTATGAGCCACTGCACCCGGCCTAGCAAGACCCTGTTTCTACAAAAAATTAAAAAAAAATTAGCCAGTCACGATGTCGTGTACCTGTAGTCCTAGCTACTCAGGAGGCTGAGGTGGGAGAATCACTTGAGCCCAAGATGTCGAGGCTGCAGTGAACCACGATTGCATCACTGCACTCCAGCCTGTGGGATAGAGCAGGACTCTGTCTAAAAAAATAAAATAAAGGATCCAGGCATCCGAGCTCATTCTACTTTGATCTCAAGCTTTTCTGAGTTTTCCCTTCACTCTTATAGGCTTTGCCAGGTTACCACAACATACTTGCCTCTGTATCTTTGCTTTTTTTTTTTTGAGACGAAGTCTGGCTCTGTCGCTCAGGCTGGAGCACAGGGTTGTGATCTCGGCTCACTGCAACCTCTGCCTTCGGTGTTCACGTGATTCTCCTGCCTCAGCCTCCTGAGTAGCTGGGATTACAGGCATGCACCACCATGCCCGGCTAATTTTTGTATTTTTAGTAGAGATGGGGTTTTACCATGTTGGCCAGGCTGGTCTTGAACTCTTGACCTCAAATGATCTGCCCACCTCGGCCTCCCGAAGTGCTGAGATTACAGGTGTGAGCTACCGCGGGCAGCCTGCATCTTTGCTTTTAAGATAGTCCCTGCCTAATATGCCTGTTCCTTACCTCACAGTTATCGAATAACTTTCTTCCTTTAAAACCCACTTCCTCCAGGGTGCCCACCACCCCTTCTCTTCCCCACATCCCCGGGATTGATCCCTCCTCTGAGCCATTCTCGGATTCTAAGCACCGTACATGTGGTTTTTGGGCGCAAGCATGACCCACTGGAATGTGGACATAGTGGGGAGAGCAAACCTTGCTTCTCTCTCCGATGTGTCTGCAGTACGTGGTGGATGGGTAGGGTGGGTTTTGAATCTCTAACCCTCAGGCCTATCCCTTCTGACAGTGACTGGCATGTCAGGGCTAGCTGGCCTGAAGCATGACATTGACCGTGTAAGAGCTGACACCAACCAGTCCTTGGTGGAACTTCGGGGCTTATTAGGTGAGTGAGACTTGGGGAATTGCCCAGGGATGGGGGGCATGGCAGAACTGGCGCATTATATCACTCCATTGTGAAGTGACTCTCAGTGCAATCTATGCGAATGGTGTCTCCCTGCTGGAGTTGAGCAGTGTACAGCCTGCACAATTGTACATGGCATACTATGTACATGGCTCAGGTTCTGGGGCCATCCTGACAGCATTCTTTCTGGTTCCCAGGCTGCCGCCGAGTTACCTGTCCTGAAGGCTGGCTGCCCTTTGAGGGCAAGTGTTATTACTTCTCCCCAATCACCAAGTCATGGGATGAAGCCCGGATGTTCTGCCAGGAGAATTACTCTCACTTGGTCATCATCAATAGCTTTGCTGAGCACGTGAGTTGTTCCCACGGAACCTTTGAGAACATTCAGGGACAGCCCGCTTCTCTTCCAGGGTGCACACATCCCTCCCTTCCCCGGATGGCAAGAAATTAGAAATACTTTTCAGTTACTAAAACTTTAACCGCAAGCTCTTCCTAAGATAGTATCATGCAGAGGTTAAGAAGACATGCTTTGTTTTTTGAGTTCGAATTCTGATTGTGTTGATTTCACTGTAGGTTTCAAGTTTCAGTTTTATCTCTAACATGAAAATACAACAATGAATATCTGTTAGGTAGCACTTTCTGTGTTTCAGGTTGTATTCCAAATATTTTACATCTTACATTCATTAACACGTGCAATCCTCAGGACAACCTATAAATTAGTATGTCAGTCAGAAGAGGTTCTTTCTTTCTTTTTTTTTTTGAGATAGAGTCTCACTCTGTCACCCAGGCTGGAGTGCAGTGGCACAATCTCGGCTCACTGCAACCTCCGCCTCCTGGGTTCAAGCAATTCTCGTGCGTCAGCCTCCTGAGTAGCTGGGATTGCAGGTGTGCGCCACCACGCCTGGCTAACTTTTGTATTATTAGTAGAGATGGGGTTTCTCCATGTTGGCCAGGTTGATCTTGAACTCCTGACCTCAGGTGATCCACCCGCCTCGGCCTCCCAAAGTACTGGGATTACAGGCATGAGCCACTGTGCCCGGCCAAAACAGGGCTTTTGAAGAAATTAAATTAGGTAATGTAAATGAGGCAGGTACAAATCATATTCCCTAACTCAGTTTCACAAGAAATGCAACTAAATTTCCTTTAAATTACTCATTTTAGTTTCTCTCTTGAGTTTTCATTCTACTAGACTGGTGTACATTTACTCTCAGTCAATTGGGGTCCGCCAATTTACTTCTAAATGGGGACAGCTTTTATGGGGTCAAGGTGGAGGGAAGCACACATCGGGTCTTTATTGTCTTTACTCCAAACTGATATCTACTGGGACATCTACAGACTGAATGATCCTGGGAAGGTTATTTAACCTTTCTGTGCCTCAGTTTTCTCATCTGCAAAACGGGCATAATGATAATACTTGCTTCAGTGAGTCGTGATAAGAATCCAATGAGACAATTTGCGCAAAGTAGCATAGTTCACTTTTTTTTTGAGATGGAGTCTTGTTCTGTTGCCCAGGTTGGAGTGCAGTGGCATGATCTTGGCTCACTGCAGCCTCTACCTCCCAGGTTCAGGTGATCCTCCTGCTTTAGCCTCCCAAGTAACTGGGACTATAGTCACATGCCACCACTCCCAACTAAGTTTTGTATTTTTTTTTTTTTTTTTTTAGTAGAGTTAGAGTATCATCATGTTGGCCAGGTCGCTCTCTAGTTAATGATCTCAAGTGATCTGCCCCTCTTGATTGACCTCCCGAAGTGTTGGTATTATAGGCATGAGCCACCATGCCTAGTCCATAGCTCACTTCTTAATTCATTAAGTCAACCAACATTTCCTGAGCACCTACTATGTGCTAGAGACTATTCTACATATTGGGGATCCAGAGATGACCAAGACATATGAGTTCCCTCTTCTTAAACTGTTCTGATTTTGGCGCCTAGAAATAGCAAGGACTCTCTAAATGTTAAACAGTCTTCTGATTTTCTGGGGCTCAGTCTTTGGACCACCTAGGCTGCCCCCGAGGCATCCCACTCTTCCATCAGCAAAGCCTTTGGGCCTGGAGGTCTTTTTCTGCTGTTCTTGGGCACAAGAGATCTTTCTGCTCCTCCTACCCCATTCTGGGGTCTAAGACATTGTGAGGCCTTCTAAGCCTCCATCTAATCTGATGGGACAGGAAGCCCTTTCCGCTCTCTGATTTTCTGACACCTCCCTGGGGCTTTACCCAGGAAATAGTGCCCAGGCCCCTTCTGCTTTTTAGTCTCCAAGCCCATCTGGGGTTTTTACCATGACCTGATGCTCACCGGAAATGAGATGCCAGATTCTTCTCTCAGGGGCCTTCCATGTCTACACATTCATTATTTCCTTCCCATGGTGACCTTACCTCCCCACATTTTTTTTTTCCCTCAAAGCAGAAATTTTATTGCCCACATTCTTTGACCACAATGCTATAACGACAGAAATATTTTCTTTTACAAAAATTTAAATCACCTTAAAAATGTTTAAAGTCAGCCAGCTGCAGTGGCTCACACTATAATCCCAGCAGTTTGAGAGGCCGAGGTGGGCAGATCACCTGAGGTCAGGAGTTCGAGACCAGCCTGGCCAACATGGTGAAACCTCCTGTCTACTAAAAATACAAAAATGAGCTGGGTATGGTGGAGCGCGGCTGTAATCTCAGCTACTCAGGAGGCTGAGGCAGGAAAATCGCTTGAACCCGGGAGGCAGAGGGTGCAGTGAGCTGGGATCATGCCACTGCATTTCAGTATAGGAGACAAAGCAAGACCCTGTCTCCAAAAAAAAAATTTTTTTTTTTTTAAAAGTCACTAGATAACTTTGGGTTAAAGAAGAAATCAAAACTGCAAGTAAATAAAAGCAAATATCAATTGGCATTGCTTATAGTAGAACACATGAAATAGATTATAGTAAAAAATTCTTAAAGCACAAATAATTCCAGGATGTGGAAAGCTGGGATGAGTGTTACTCACACCCGTGCAGCAACAATTGCCAGATAAACTATAAAATCATAAGTTTTCCTAACCTCATTAGCTAACTGATACTGATACCATAGGGCAGTCAAAAAGTCTAAAATGGTCCAGGCGTGGTGGCTCACGCCTGTAATCCCAGTGCTTTGACCTCCCCACTTTTTTTTTTTTTTTTAGGTGGGGATTTCGTGTTTTCTTGCCCAGGCTGGAGTGCACTGTCGTGATCTCGGCTCACTGCAACCTCCGCTTTTCGGTTTCAAGCAATTCTCCTGTCTCAGCCTCCCGAGTAGCTGGGATTACAGGCATGCCACCAGGCCTGGATAATTTTTGTATTTTTAGTAGAGATGGGATTTTGCCATGTTGGCCAGGCTGGTCTCCAACTCCTGACCTCAGGTGATCCACCCGCCTCCGCCTCTCTAAGTGCTGGGATTACAGGCGTGAGCCACCGTGCCTGGCCACCTCTCCACGTTTTAAGAAATCTTGGTTTGGTGGTAAGTTGGGTGAGTTAGATGTGATTTGCATACAGTAAAATGCGCAGGTCTTTGGTGTATGTTCAGTGAACTTTGACAAATGCATACGCCTGTGTAACTGTCAAACTAACCAATATTTATAATCTTTCCACCACCCTAGAAAGTTTTTTCATATCCTTTTTCTAGTTAATCCTTCCCGGCCGCCACTTGCAACCACCAGTCTAATTTCTTTCGCCATAAATTAGTTTGCCTGGAGAGGAGTTGCTTCTAACTATATTTTCTTCCCTATCTTTTATCTTTGTCATAAGTCCTTTCTTTTCTTCCAAAGGCCTGGGATTTTGATTTTTTTCGGGAGAGGGTCTGGCTCTGCTGCCCAGGCTGGAGTGCAGTGGTGCATTCATAGCTCACTGCAGCCTTGAACTCTTGGGCATAAGGGATCCTCCCACCTCAGCCTCCTGAGTAGCTGGGACTATAGACACGCACTACCATGTATGGCTAATTTTTACAAATTTTTGTAGAGATGGGGGGTCTCAGTATGTTGCCCAGGCTAGTCTCAAACTCCTAGGCTCAAGCGATCCTCCCTCCTTGGCTTAAGCGCTGGGATTACGGGTATGAGGCAGTGTTTGTCAAAGGCCTGGCCTTTTGAAATATCAAAGCCAGGAAACCTACTTTCCATCTTCCTTCTTTCTTTTCCTGGAACAATGAACTTCTGTGCTGTTTGGATGCAGATTAAGGCTATGGAGTGTCACAAAAGTGCAAGAGAAACCAAAAAACATCAGTTACTATTGCTAAAAATGTCACTTAAATGTTATAATGCTAAATACTAAGACGTCACAGTATGAGGCCATGCCTGTAATGCTAGCTCTTTGGGAGACTTACAGTGACTTTTGGGACATGCAGTGAGCCATAATTGCACCACTGCACTCCAGTCTGGTTGACAGAGTGAGACTTTGTCTCAGAAAAAAAAAAAAAAAAAAAAAATTAGGCCGGGTGTGGTGGCTCACGCCTGTAATTCCAGCACTTTGGGAGGCTGAGGCAGGTGAATCAACTGAGGGCAAGAGTTTGAGATCAGCCTGGCCAACATGGCGAAACCCCACCTCTACTAAAAAATACAACAGTTAGCCGGGCCTGGTGGGCCTGGTAGCTATAATCCCAGCTACTCGGGAGGCTGAGGCAGGAGAATCTCTTGAACCCAGGAGGCGGAGGCTGCAGTGAGCTGAGAGCCCATCACTGCATTCCACCCTGGGTGACAGCAAGACTCCGTCTCAAAAAAAAAAAAAAAAAAATCCTCACAACACTACCAGGAGATAGCTACTGTTAACCCATTTTACAGGTGAGGAAACTGAGGCACAGAGCAGTTCACAGGTTGCATGAGAAAAAGTAGCACGATTATTCCCACCACACACGCTACAGTAGGAGGAAGACATTGATCCTGTTCTGCATACCATGGGGATGGGGACGGGTTGTGGGAGGTGACGTTCCCAAGCCCTAAATGTGTGGGATGGGGTAGAGGGCAGGTCCTCACCCTGAGGGTCATGCAGAGGAATGGCTGTCTGAATGGAGTTTGTATTTGCAGAATTTTGTGGCCAAGGCTCACGGCTCTCCACGGGTGTACTGGCTGGGGCTGAATGACAGGGGGCAAGAAGGGGACTGGAGGTGGCTGGATGGGTCTCCTGTGACGTTAAGGCAAGTGCTCGGGTTTCCTGGGGTCTCTCTGCTTCTTCTGTGGGCCCTGACCATGGGGAGGGGAGAAGGTGATGGAGTACATGGTTGAAGGAGTCAGGAGCTGTTTCTTTTCTTTTTCTTTTTTTTTGAGATGGAGGGAGTCTTGCTCTGTCACCCAGGCTGGAGTGCAGTGGCATGATCTCGGCTCACTACAAGCTCCACCTCCCGGGTTCAAGGAATTCTCTGCCTCAGACTCCCGAGTAGCTGGGATTACAGCTGCCCGCCACCACACTCAGCTAATTTTTGTAGTTTTAGTAGAGACGGGGTTTCACCATATTGGTCAGGCTGGTCTCGATCTCCTAACCTCAAGCGATCTGCCTGCCTCGGCCTCCCAAAGTGCTGGGATTGCAGGTGTGAACCACCGCACCTGGTGGAACATTGGCTGCTAAAGGCTCACAGGAGTGCCATTTCTGGAAAGCTGTTCTCAGCTGAATGGGAGCCTGCTCACCTAAGATGTTACCCAACTCCACTGGGGTCAGCTCACAACCAGTGACAACCTAAGAGAAGCCTGGACCCCTTGTGACAAATTGGGATGACCCTGGTGCTGGTCACATCCCAGGGGTCTCCGCTGGGGTCGGGCTGAGGCTAGAGTCATCTGAGTCCACGCTTCTGCTCAATTCCTTCCCCATTCCATCTGGCTTCCCTCACCTCTCTCCTAAGAACATCCTTTAATAAATCCTACACGCTCGAGTTCCTGAATCAGGCCCTGCTTTAAGCAAGACCCTACATGATCTAAACAATTCTTAGAAGGTTGGGAAGGTTGGGTTGGGAGGTTGTAAAGGAAAGAGTCTTTGGAAGACAAGACAGAAACTGACCAGATTCAGAAATTGATCACAGGTGTAAACCTCCGCGCGCTGCTTAACACGGGTTTTGACAAATACGTAGTGCCAGGTATTCATCGTTACGGTATTATACAGAAGAGTTTCACCACCCCTAAAGATCCCCGTCCCTCTGCCCACTTTTTCCTCCATCCAGCTTCTGGGAGCCAGAGGAACCCAATAACATCTACAATGAGGACTGTGCTGCCATGAACAAAGATGGCACCTGGAATGATCTGTCTTGCTACAAAACTACGTATTGGATTTGCGAGCGGAAATGTTCCTGTTGAAGCCCAGATGGAGGCTGGGGGGTCCATATTCGAGCGTCCCTCACTCTTTGAGATGAGAATCTCCTGCCCTTTCATGGACGGCCTTGCCTCTTCATGAGTGGACACAGATGTGCCCCACGCAGGATTGGCACCCTGGATGCAGCAAATTCCCAGGGATGCAAGTCAGGCTGCCTCTAGAGTGAAGACTTGGGCTTGTGCTAGTAGATGGTGAGCTGGGAGGACGCTCAGAGCTTGGTGGTGGGAGGTCTCCCAGTTCTGGGGTTGAACGGATCTTCACCAAATTCCTGATCATGACCCTTGGGAAGTGATACTAGCCCTGAAGACCCTGGGGCTGGTATTGAACCTGGGATGAAATATCCTGGCGCCTCTGAACCACAAAGAGCTGGGACTGGGCTCCTTTTTCTGCAGCCTCAAACTTCTGGGCTCAGGCCATCCTCCCATCTCAGCCTCCTGAGTAGCTGGGACTACACATGCGCACCACCACCATGCCTGGCCAATTTTTTGTAGTGTTTAAAGAGAGGGAGTCCCACTATGTTGCCCAGGCCAGTCTCAAACTCCTGGCCTCAATTGATCCTCCTACTTGGGCCTCCCAAATTGTTAGAATTACAGGTGTGAGCCACTGTGCCTGGCTCAAAATTATTATTATTATTATTATAGAGATGAGGTCTCACTCTGTTGCCCAGGCTGGTCTCAAACTCCTGGGATCAAGCAATCCTTCTGCCTCGGCCTCCCAAAGTGCTGGGATCACAGGCATGTGTCACCACACCTGGCCGATATTTTTATTTTTATTTTTACTTTCCCCATCTTTTCCTTTTTTTTTTAAATGAAAGCTTTGAAAGTGGTGACAGCAAAATTTCCCTTAGAGCTAGACCTCTAGATCTGCCTTGCACAGAAATACATTAAAGGGACTAGCCTCATGTAGTCCCCGCCATCTTTGCAAATTACAAACCTAAAAATTACAGAACATCAGCAGAGAAGACAGGAGAGCTTCTAGACTTACCCCATGTTGTCCTCTGCAGACACTGCTTCCTTCCTGGTCTCAAACAGCACAAATAACCCAGAAACTATCAAAAGTATTTTGGACCAGCAACTTTCTCAATGTCTTGGGTAAGGTCTGCACAAGCTAAGTGGCAGAATCAGACCTGTGCCAGAAGACTGGGCCCATGGAAATTCTATCCTTTTTTTTTTTTTTTTTTTTTTTTTTGAGACAGGGTCTCATTCTGCCACCCAGGCTGGAATGCAGTGGCACGATCATAGCTCACTGCCTCCTCTGTCTCCTGGGCTCGAGTGATCCTCCCGCCTCAGCCTCCCAAGTAGCTGGGACTACCGGCATTCACCCTCATACCTGGCTGGTCCATGGAACTTCTAGAAAGGCATACCAGCTGAAAAGCAAGACCCCTACATCGTGTGGCCAGGCAGGCCATAACCTGGTCATATCCAAACAGGACAACGCTGGACATATCCGCCAACATGTGCCCTTGAGCTGTCTGTGGGTTGTAACGTCTTTGATGATATAGTTCACTTTATTTGCCGGGCACAGTGGCTCACGCCTGTAATCCCAGCACTTTGGGAGACTGAGGTGGGCAGATCACCTGAGGTCAGGAGTTCGAGACCAGCCTGGCCAACATGGTAAAACCCTGTCTCTACTAAAAATACAAAAAAATTAACTGGGCATGGTGGCATGTGCCTGTAATCCCAGCTACTCAGGAGGCTAAGGCACGAGAATTGCTTGAACCCAGGAGGCGGAGGTTGCAGTGAGCCGAGATCGCACCACTGCACTCCAGCCTGGGTGACACAGCAAGACTCCATCTCACAAACATAAATAAATAAATAAATAAATAAATAAATAAATAAATAAATAAAAATAAAAATTCACTTTACTTCTGTGTGGACTTTCTCGGGCTATTAGCTCTTGCAATGTTAGTGCTTCTCAAAATGCCACTTTGTTGGGTGTTCCTTGTCTACTGTGTGTTAGTTTGCTGGGGATGCCATAACAAAGGACCATAGACTGGGTGGCTTCAGCAACAGAATGCATTTTCTCACAGTTCTGGAGGCTGGATGTCCAAGATCAAGGTGTTGGCAGGGTTAGTTTCTTCTGAGGCCTCCTGTCTTGGCTTGTAGATCATCCTCTTCCCCCTGTGTCTTCACCTGGTTCTCCCTCTGTGTTTGGGTCCTAATCTCCTCCTCCTCTTCTTTTTTTTTTTTTGAGACAGGGTCTCGCTCTGTCACTCAGGCTGGAATGCAGTGGCGTGATCTCAGCTCATTGCAACTTCCACCGCCCAGGCTTAAGCATCCTCCTGCCTCAGCCTCCCGAGTAGCTGGGATTACAGGTGTGCACCACCATGCCTGCCTAATTTTTGTATTTTTTAAAGCAACAGGGTTTTACCATGTTGCCCAGACTGGTTTTGAACTCCTGGGCTCAAGCGATCTGCTCACCTTGTCCCCGCAAAGTGCTGGGATTACAGGCATGAGCCACTGTGCTGGGCCTACAATGACCTCTTTAAAGACCCTGTCTCCAAATATAGCAATATTATGAGGTCCTGGGAATTAGAATTTCAACATATGCATTTGGGAGGGGTGGCACAATTTTGCCTATAACATTCACAAACTGTCAGAGTGACCCCCGCCTGACCCTCCTGCCCTGGCCATGTGACAACCAAAAAATATCAATTAGACGGCTGGTACTACCCCCAGCTAGGTATAACTCAACATAATATTCCCTTTGAACAATCCTTGAATTGCATCCAAGGGTGAGTAGACATTCTCCAAACCAACCAATTTGTTATTACTGTTTTTTGAGACAGAGTCTTGCTCTGTCGCCCAGGTTGGAGTGCAGCGGCGCGATCTCGGCTCACTGCAACGTCTGCTTTCCAGGTTCAAGCAGTTCTCCTGCCTCAGCCTCCTGAAGAGCTGGGATTACAGGCGTTTGCCACCACGTCTGGTTAATTTTTGTATTTTTTAGTAGAGACAGGGCTTTGCCGTATTGGCCAGGCTGGTCTCGAACTCCTGACGTCAAGTGATCCGCCCACCTCAGCCCCCTAAAGTGCTAGGATTAGGGGGTGAGCCACCATGCCTGGCCTTATTTTATTTTTTGAGACAAGATCTCACTCTGTCAGTGCAGTGTTATAATCATAGCTCACTGCAGCCTCAAACACCTGGGCTCAAGCGATCCTCCCTCCTCAGACTCCTGTATAACTAGAACTACAGGTGTGCTCCACCACACCCAGATAATTTTATTTTATTTATTTTTTGTATAGACAGGGGTCTTGCTTTGTTGCCTAGACTGGGCTTAAACTCCTGGTCTTGAACGCTCCTCCTCCTTCAGCCTCCCAAAGTGCAAGGATTGCGGTCAATTTATTAACCAACAAGCACCCTTAATTAATAGCAGAGTCTTTCCTGTTTTGTCTGAGAACAAGTGATTATAGCAAGGAGACTGTGAGGAGAGGAGGTGGTGGGGGAGGTCAGAGCTGACTTCACTTCCTGTTTCTTTGATTTGTTCTTTTATTTCGTTATTAGGTTGGAAAAAGAGTAGATCTCGGTGGTCGCTTTTTTTTTTTTTTTTTTTGAGATGGAGTCTCACTCTGTCACCTAGGCTGGAATACAGCAGGCAGCAGATCTCGACTCCCTGCAACCTCCTCCTCCGGGGTTTAAGCGATTGTCCTTTTTGAGATGGAGTCTCACTCTGTCACCTAGGCTGGAATACAGCGGCAAGATCTCGGCTCACTGCAACCTCCTCCTCCGGGGTTTAAGCGATTGTCGTGCCTCAGCCTCCTGAGTAGCTGGGATTACAGGCACGCACCACTGCATCTGGCTAATTTTTATATTATTAGTAAGACAGGGTTTTGCCACATTGGCCAGGCTGGTCGTGAACTCCTGACCTCAAGTGATCCGCCCTCCTTGGCCTCTCAAAGTGCTGGGATTACAGGTGTGAGCCACTGCACCCAGCTTCCTTATTTATTTTTAAGAAATGGGTTCTCAAGATGTTGCCCAGGCTGGAGTGCAGTGGCAATTCATAGGCAGGACCCCACTACTGAGTTTTGATCCTCTCTGTCCTCTCTTCTCACCTCCGCCCACCTCTGCACCTGCCCCGACTCATCACTACCAAAGCCAGCTCCTGTACTGTCTGTAGCCTGCTGAGCGGGTGGGTGTCTTGCTGTAAACCCTCCACCCAGGGGACTGTTGTTCCAAGCAACTTTATCTGGGGTCTGGGGAAGTTCCCATATATCAGAAGAGGGAAGTTCAGTGTTTTCTGATACGCGTATTGAGAAATGGGGAAGCGGGGTCTGTGGTCACATCTTTAGGAGGCCCCTGGTGGAGCTGGTCCCAACCTATCTTCCTTCCACATCTCTCATGATTATCTAATTGCAGAGAGGTAAACATGAAAGAGGTCACTTTTTACCACTTTAGGTCCAGGGGAGCAACAGTTGGATAAAAATAATAACCATGGTTTATCAAACATATATTGGGTGGTAGATAAATGCAGTGGCTCTTATTGAATCTTCACCATAACTTTGTGAGGTTGGAATATTTACCAACCCCTGCCAATCTTTTTATTTTATTTATTTTGTTTTTTTTTTTTTTTTTTTTTTTTTAGACAGAGTCTCACTCTGTCACCCCGGCTGGAGTGCAGTGGTGTGATCTCGGCTCACCGCAACCTCTGCCTCCTGGGTTCAAGTGATTCTCCTGCCTCTGCCTCCTGAGTAGTTGGGATTACAGGTGCACCCTGATGCCCGGTAAATTTTTGTATTTTTAGTAGAGATGGGGTTTTGCCATGTTGGCCAGGCTGATCTTGAACCCCTGACTTCAAGTGATCTGTCTACCTTAGCCTCCCAAAATGCTGGGATTACAGGCTTAAGCCACTGTGCCCAGTCCCCATTTTTTCTTTTTTTAAAGACAGAATCTCACTCTGTCACCCAGGCTGGAGTGCAGTGGTGCAATTATAGCTTGTTGTGGCCTCAACCTCCCAGGCTCAAGTGATCCTCCCACCTCAGCCTCCCAAGTAGCTGTGGCTACAGGTGTGTGCCACCACACCTGGCTAACCAACCCCATTTTATACCTGGGCAAACTGAGGCCCTGGGGGGTCTCATGGTTTGTCCATTGTCATTTATTGGGTAAGTGGCACAACTGGGATTCAGATTCCATCTGCCTCCCCCTGTTGATCTCTTTCTACAGCTAGCTGCTTTTTTTTTTTTTTTTTTTTTTTTTTGAATGGGTTGTTGAGCTTGCAGTGAGCCCAGATCGCACCACTCCGAGGATAAGTCTTGCTCTGTTGCCCAGGCTGAATTGAGTGCAGTGGTGCAATGGGTACAATCTCGGCTCACTGCCCAACCTCCATCTAGAGTCTTGCTCCGTTGCCCAGGCTGGAGTGCAGTGGTGCAATCTCGGCTCACTGTAACCTCCATCTCCCTCCCCAGCTCCCTCATTCCTCAGGAGAGACGACTCTGAGATGCATGTTCCACATTATCTCCTGAAAGTCCCCAC